CCATGTGCTACCTCTGACCAGCTCTGCTCTGGGGAACAGCATCAGACAGTCCTGCTGCTCAGAGTCCTTGTCTGGGCAGTGACTGCCTGAGCACGAAGGGCTCCTGCCTGCCCCTTCCCTGGGGTCACTGTTCAGGTGTGCTGTGTCCCTCAGCTCTGGGACAGTCCCCTGGGACTGTGCTCCCTGCACACAGGGCTCTGTCCAGTGCCTCTGGGGGGTGCAAAGGAAACAGCAGACATTTCAATTTGTGTTTGTTTACATATTGCACTGGAAATTTGCTGATTGGCATTCAGGCATGAAATGCAGTGGTTGTTTGGAAGGTGCCAGGAGAACCCTCACATTTTGGAGCGAGTCACCTTTCTTGGGTTCGTCTGGCAAAGAGCAAATGTGGTTCAATGGAATTTTTCTCCTTATAGCCTGAGGTGATGCTGGTTTTCCTTCAATCTGTAAGCAGCAACTAAAAAGCCTCTGAAAGCCTCTGAGCCATGAGTGGCACCTGTGTGACACAAACCAGCACAGCTCTGTGTGACACAGAGCAGCACAGCTCCTCGAGCCCCTGGAACCAGCCTGGTCTGCTGCCATAGCCCATGGCAGGGGCTGCCATGACTGAACCCTCCAACAAACCCTGACTGTGACAATTTCTCTGGTACATGTTACTCATCTCTCTAAAACTGGCCTCTATTCTCATTCCCACCTTATTATTATTTGAATGGGTATAATGTTTTTCCCTTCCATCTGTATTTCTTTTTAAGAAATTGTAATTCCATAATCCCCCTACAACAATTCTGTGAAATCTCCTTTAAAATCTCTTTAAAACTTTGCTACCAAAAGGTTTGCCTGTGGTGCCTGGAGGTGTTGCTCATGGCAGTACAAGCATTGACAGCAATCCTCCTCCAGAGAGCCTTTTTCTTGGAAAATGCCCTTAATCTCCCTGTGCTGTGACAGCTCCTAGAGTTGCCACCCAGACATGTTCCCCATCACTCTACAGCTCCCAGAGGGAGCCAAAATCCAGACACCACCACCATGATACTGAGGGAACAATGCAGTGAAACACTGGGGTGGGTTAGGAGAAGCTTTGGCATGGAGACACCCTGCAGGAGCTGGCACCTGCTGGGGCAGGGGGCTCTGGGGAGCCAGGTGATGGCAGCTGGTGCCACCCAGAATGGGTGGGAGCTGTGCACAGATGAGCCTGTCCTGAACAGGGCAGTGCCAGGAGCCCCTCACCTGCCCAGAGGAGCTGCAGTGGAGGTGGCACCTCCCCATCAGCATCTCCTGCACTGCCAGCAGGACTGGGTGCCCTCAGTGCTCACCTCCTCCCGTGGCCAGGAACGAGGAATGCTGAAAGCAATCAGTGATCAAAAGAGAACCAAGAGAAAGAAACATGACTGACCACCATGTACATTAAGGAATTTTTTCTTGCTGTTCAGAGAACCACCAGGTTAATACAGAAAGGCACAGAGTTTATTTCTGACCCATTTCCATGTCATGAGATATAATAATTCTGTGCAGTTAAGCCACGCTGCAGCCAGACGTGGTCACTGCTGGGGTGAGGCAGCTGGGAGCTCGCTGCAGGAGCAGGGAGGGCTTGGGGCCCATCACCAGGCCTGGCCTCATCTCAGCTGTCACTGTGAACTCTTCAACCCTCACGCTGAAGGGCTGAATATGTTCAACAGTTTCATGTTTGTCCTCTCTGTCATGGACTGTCTCCTTCAAAAACTCTGACTGCACAGGGCCACAGCCAAGCTGGAACCCCACGGTGCCCCTGGAGCTCTGGGTGGACAGCGGGTGCCCTCCATCCCCTGGAGCTCTGGGTGGGCAGTGAGTGCCCTCCATCTCCATGAGCT